TATTTGGAATTGACTAAATAAATAAATTTAATGTTATTTTTTATTGAAGAAATAAAATTAAACTATTTATATTAAATATTTTGATAAAATCTTAGTTAAAATAAATATCAAATTCTTTAAATTTGTTTGAAAAATGAATAAAAATATAAAGGTTATGATGAACAGAAGAAGAGGATTACAATTAATGAACATAGGTGATAGGAAGACAATTTAATGTTCTACTCTAAACCCTAAAGAAATATATAGAGGGCATTTCTCTCATTTGATAAAGGTTGGATTACAAAATAATGAACATAAGAGGATTGGTATTACAAAATATGACACAAGCTTAGTCTCCAATAAACATATTAAAGCTTGTTGTAAGAGTTGGTGGAGAATAAAGGCAACGACTAGATGATATTAATTGGGAGGAACACGATAGCTGAAGCTGACCGCCTGGAGGAAGGGACTAGGCATCTTGCTGGTGGAGTTTGTGATTACTCTTGCGGAGGACAGCGCGTGGGCGAAAGCCCGGGGATGATGAGACGGTGGGCCCCAATTCATTAGGAAGCCTCTTTGCTGTGCTGATGAAGAATGTTGCTTGATATTGAGGTGAGCCAGCTTGGCATGGGCTGAAACTGAAGGAATGAGTGATGCTGGAGAGACGAGTAACTACAGTTTGGGACAAGATGTCTTGATCGACATGTCTATTGCCCTAGGAGGGAACACATTGTTCCAGTTGCCTCAAGAATTGCGTTCCACAGTTATAGCAGCACCAGAATGGCAGAACGTCATGCGGTCTAAATTACTCCTGACACAAATTTCGGAAGGGTGTGCAAAGGTATACAAAATTGAATAATTTTGTTAATCCTGCAAGTTGTTCGAAATTGGCTTGTTTTCTGTGACTTAATGCTATTGAGTATTAAATGATCTGTCATCTCCATTGCAATGAGCTTATATTGATTGAACAGCCAACCGTTTCCTGATAATCTTTAAAGCTCATTTTGGTGTTGTTTTTTTTTTTCAGGTCATGATGAAGAACTTGGAGCAGATTGTTTCTATGGTATTGAACTCATTTATAGATCCACATCCTCGTGTAGCGCTGGGCCTATAGAAGGCCATTGTGACAGTTGTCCACAGATTTGGGTCCTGATCTTCAAGTTCATTATCAAGCAGCAAGGTGCTGCCAGCTCTGGCCTCTGCTATGGATGATTTCCAGAATCCTCGCGTGCAGGCAAGTAGTTCCACAATGCTGTAACTGCTGTCATGTATCGTACCACATCATACGTCTTCCTAGGAACTGGGAAAAAAAAAGGTTGATAAAGCTAATTCTGATATAGCTTTGGATAAAGCTTGCAATTGCAGAGACTACGTGTTTATTTCTTTTTATTTTTTTAAAAATTTGTTATTTATTGTTATTGTTGTTTCTGTTAATTTTTTTGTAGCATTACCAATCCTCATTCTTGCTACTGTTCTTGTTAAGAGTTGCATTTGATAGCTATTTTTATTTTTTTGGTAGATACCCTTGATCATAAACTTGAACTGTATATCCATGCAATCTGCATTTCTTCATTTAAATGTTTTAAAGCTTTCCGTTTCAAATAAGATCTTTTTAAGGGCTTCCCATCACAACATTTCAGAAACTGCTTTCTTCATCACAAGATTTAGAGGATTTTACGATCTTTTTTTAATGTATCAATCTAGGAAGCTGTAAAACCATGAAACCTCTATGATTTTGCATTGTCTTTTTTTTTAAATGTCTACACATGAATCACCAAAATTAAAAGACCATATTGATGATCTAGACTTTTAGTAGGAGTCAAACATTTCAAATATAGATGTTCATATAAGAAATTTAATTGGTATCTCATTCTTTTGCATTGCACATGTATGGAGCAATGCTTTTATTATTTTATAATCTTCCGTACCGTTTTATCGCCAGTATAAATCTTGTCTCAAGGATCCAGTTGGATTCATGACAACCTCTTTATGGTTCTGATTGAGGCTAGTAAGTGTTAGAATGATTCTACAATTCCCAATGTTTGAGAATACGATATGCAGTATATTTTAACCGCTTCTAATTTTGTGGTAAGAGGATCTTTGGCTACACCTGGTTGCAGCTAAACTTGTTTGCTTGATTTCAAAGCACGTGAGAATCTAACCTATGCTTTATGTTGTGCTATTATGTACAATAAAATTTTGATATACCCTATTTTATGTTTAGTCATGTAAATTTTTTTTTTTATATTTGAAATAGTGCAGTATTTGTTATTGTGTTATCTTAATCAGGATCAAAATAAACTAGTTCAGTAATAATGTTGAGTTGTGCTTGTTGTTTATGGCAAAAGATGATTAGTTTTGAACTTGGTAGGCACGAATTAGTAGATATAGTGTTTTTTGTGGGCTTTGTGCTTAATCTATGATGTAATTAAACTTTTAATCCAAACATAGTTATGATATATTTGATATGTTTTATCATAAAGGATGGTCACAAAACAGAAAAACTCCTATGGTCATACTATTTATCCACTTGATTGAAAAGGGAAATAAGAAAGTGTATTGTCAAGGAAAGTATGTTGAATTTGAATCTAACAATGCACTGACTCGAAGTTCTAAATTGGTTTGAGATTTGGATTAGTACTGGTAAATGCCTCTTCTCATAGGCATAAAACTGTCTTGATAGACCAATTACACAAGTTTCCTATTAGTCTGACCTTTGCTCAGCAAGAACAAGTGTTGCTTCATTGTTCACAGTAATGAGTATTATTACAAGTTTTTTTTTTCAACATAGGAGTACCATTTTTTGATTCTTAATCTATTTGAGATTTTATGCATTTCTTTTTTTCTCTCTTACAGAATCACCTTACGTTTTCTTTGCCAGATTCAATTCGTGTGGTTTAAAATTTTATAATTACGATCTTTCCGGTATCATGTACTTATGTTGGAGCCTTTTTTATTCTTGTCATTTTATTGTTTGACGGCACATGCTGCTTCAGTAGTACTCAATTTCATTGAGAACTGCACTCCTGATACTTTATCACCTTACTGGGATGGAATTGTTAGCAAATTGCTTGTGTTGCTTCAGGTACCATAAAGTTTTATTTCTGTCATTTCATTTTTGATTATTGCTATTTAGGGAAGATGACCAAGTTTTTTTGGTTGTTTCATTTAGAATGGGAAGCAGATGTTGCTGATTCATCTCAGGTAAAAAAATCATTAGGGAGATTTTTTTTGTGGGGGGTATTATCTTGGACTTCCTTTGATGTTGCATATTTAAGCTGGAGCACTTCCAAAAATATTATGATGCTGTCATGCTATATCTTAAAGCTATTTTGATGAATGCCACTGACAAGGCAAATAGAACTTAATATAACACTTTCTATTAAGAAAGATGGCATCTAATAAAATAAAAATAAAATTATGGAAATATTCACTATTATCTTACAATCTTTAGATCTTTTTCATGAATCACCATTCTAATGTTTTGTTGGAGAATAATTTCTAAAATGATTGCTTGAAGCAGATTAAGAAACCAAGAAGAGAATCTTACATTGCTTTCCTGCCACCTGAGCTTTTAGAGAGAATTTTACTAGAAGCTCTTGCAACATCTCCAACACCTATCAGAGATATCAGATATTTCAAAAAAACGTAAGTATTATTTTTTAAGAAATTATCATTATTTCTTAATTAAGATTAATTTTTTTATTTATTTAACCACAAAATAATTACATATAATAGTACTGATTTATACAGATGTAAGAATTTTCATGCAATATGTTCATCAAAAAGGATAGGAAAATACATGAATGTAGAAGATTGGAGAATGTGTTGGCAAGACAAGCAAGGCTATTTAAGATTTCTTCAAACTTATGCTGAGAGTGAAAATACTAATGCTCTCTTCTTGCTTGGATTGATAAGCAATTATTTTTTCTTGAATTTTATCTACTTCTACGATTCAGTACTTATTAGCATTGAACATATATTTGTTATGGATTTATATATTTCATATCAATGTTCATTCATACAAATTTAACATGTTTGATATGTAAATTTGTAGGAGGAAATGTTTAATAGAGGAAACTATGATGTTGGTCTGCATCGCCTTCAATTGACATCAAATCAAGGAAATATTACTGCCAAATATCTTTTGGGACTTTGGTGGTTTCATGATGATTCATCTCGCTCATATGGTATCAATCTTTTGAATGAGATATCAGGTAATATACGTCAATATCGAAAACAAGCTTCCAAGATCTTCAGCAAGATGAGGTTTCAAAAATGGCCTTCATTGCCTTTTTTTCTTTGTAATGATTGGTCATGTATGTCTTTAACTATGATAGGAGATTATCCATTGCGACCTGAGGTACAAGAGGAATTTAGTTTCTGTAGCGATGTTTGTAAATGGAAAAATGAATATGAAATGTTTATATCTATGCCTCCTTGGTAGGAGTTTTTTTGTTTGACTTCTTATCTTAAATTTGAGTCATTGGATATTACAGCCTGTGTGATAGACACAATTGTAGTAATTTATCATGTAAGAGTTTCTCAAAGGACATAAAAATAGAAAAAATGTTTTGATTTATGTTTTTTAATATATATTATAATATGAAATTGTTAAAATTATTATAATTTGTGTAAAATTAATAAATTTATTTTCTTGCATTGTATGTAGTATTGCCTTTAAGTATTAATCAATTGCTTGTTTGTTTATAATTTTATTCTTTTTAATTTTAACACATTAAACTTAAGATTTATTTGCTGATAATAATATTTACTTAATTCATATATGTGCAGTGCTCTTATTCTTTTTTATAATTTGATCACAAAATTTGGTTTTGACTTTTTTTTACATGCTAAAGAACAGCAGTCATTTTAATCGCTATAGTAGAATAAGCGTGGTTAAAATCGATGTTATTTTACAGATTTGAAGTGGTTCACAAACCATCGAAGAATACATTACTAGCAAATACAAATATAATGAATTTCTAGTGGTCATTAAATCGGTGCACTTATTTCTATAGTGTTTTAATCTACTGAAATATATTAAAAAAGCTTGCTAAAGCCCTTTTTATTAGTAATATCCTGAATAATTCATATATTTTTCATTTGATTCTTTTGTTCTTGGTAATACTAAGTGTATCAGAATTTCTTCTTCCTATTTCTATCAATATTATTTTATTTTTTATTTTACTTTAAAAGTTAAAACAACAAAACAGCCTACATATCTAGTGAAGTTAGGATTTAAAATCATAGAATTAAAACTTAAATAATCTTGTTATTGCTTCTATCTAGTGAAGTTAGGATTTAAAATCAACAAAACAGCTTATATTTCTATAAATATTTTATGATAGATTTAGGGGTGGAACCCCTTTATGACTAGGGGGGCAATTGCCGGCCTCTCCCTCAAAAAAAAATATTTTTTCCATTATACTCTCATTTAGATAATTTTTAGTCTCTATTACAAGGGTTTTAAGGTAATCCCCCCCCCTAAAAATGTTAAAATATTATGGTCTTTAGGCAATGACCCCCAATATAATTAAATACTTTGTGTAGATATATTATTGTTATGAACCAAATATAAAAAGAAATAGTAAATCAAAATTTGTTTCGGGGAAGCGCCCCTAAAAACCCCTGCAGGGGTGCTGCCCCCGGAAACCCTCGCTGGGGCGCTGCCCCTTGACCCCGTGACCTGACCGGGCAGGTCGAACCCCGCCAGGGGGCGTTACTGTATATTACTTGATCTTGGAAGCTTGTTTTCGACATTGATGTATATTACCTGATATCTCTTTCAAAAGATCGATACCATATGAGTGAGATGAATCATCACGAAACTACCAAAGTCTCAAAAGATATTTGGAAGTAATATGTCCTTGATTTGATGTCAATTGAAGGCGATGCAGACCAACATCATACTTTCCTCTATTGAACATTTCCTCCTAAAAATTTACATATCAAACATGTTGAATTTGTATGAATGAACATTGATATGAAACATATATATCAATAACAGATAGATGTTCAATGCTAATAAGTACTGAATCATAGAAGCAGATAAAATAATTTCTTACCAATTCAAGCATGAAGAGAACATTAATACTTTCACTCTGAGCACAACTCATAAGAAATCCTAAATAACATTTCTTTTCTTGCCAATACATGATCCAGTGTTCTACAATCATATATTTTCCTATTCTTTTTTATGAATATGTTGCATGAAAATCCTTGCATTTATATTTAATTATCATATAATTTGTTAAATAAAATAATTGGTAGTAGAAAATTTTGGCTATACAAGTCATAGGAGGATAAAGTAATCAATTCTTAAGCTTTTCAAAAATTTTTTTAAAGCACTCATCATTATCATCATTAAACTTAGATTTCATTTGAGAAATCTTTTCGACAAAATTTTTTTGTTGCTTTTAAAAAAAAATTGTGCTAGAAAGCTGCTACAAAAAAATAGTATAAAAACTGTCACAAACAAAGCCTTAACCCATCTATCTTTATTCGGTGTTATAAATTCTTTTTTTTTATTCTAAAAAAATTATGCATTTATATAATTTTTATTTTATGAAATGAAAAAAGCTCCACTTTGAGAAAAAAAAATTGGAACACACTTCATATGCATATAATTATTTCAAGATATTATTAGTTTGTAATAAATAATTGCTCATGATATTTTCATTAAAAATATGTTTATTTTTGGTAAGATAACAGTGAGATTAATTACTATTTTTAGATAGAAATTAAGAAAAACTATCTCAATAATACACGAGATTTGGTCGTTTAATAACTTAACATATATCTCAATAATAAATTTTATTGAAAATATCTTGATTTATGCTATCCTAACACGAAATAACACTCCAAGAAAAAAAAAAAGAGATTTCTTGAAAAATTAATGGTAGAAACAAGATCGAGGAAAATTTCAGCTGAAGTATATCACTTGAATTTAATATAATTATTTTCGGTGTATTTCCACTTGGAAACAGTTTTGAAAGATTCACTCCCATCCATAAGAATTTCATTATGAAGGAAAAATTCTATCGATAATATCTATTTTTCCTGTAGTCTAAATTGAATGAAATTATTATTATTAGATGTGTGAGGAGGCTTTGACATACCAGAGGAGATTTGCAAGAGGAATAGAGAGAGAAAGTATCAACTGTGTTTTACCTAAGCCAAGGAAATTAGCCTGAGATACTCAGGTTTGGAGCATTTGGGTGCTACTTATAGCATAGAAATTGCATTGAATATGTTAATTACTTTGCCTAAAAGGCTTCAAGCTATTTGAACATTCAACTTTTATATGCATTTATGCTTATCATGCGTTTCCATTTATAGACATATGCATGTATGAATTTAGTTTTATCCATTTTCATTTTGAATAACAATTTAATTATATTCTTTCAATAAATTTAAACTTTATATATATAGGGTGATATTAGCCATCTATTTAATATTGTATGATATCTAAATATATGCTAAATAAACCACAATCATGATTCTTTATATTTGGATAAAATATTATATATATCACCTAAATGGCTAACCAGAAGTATTATGTGAAACTTGCACGCAAGCATGCTTATGTACTATTTCTAGTTATTCATTCGATATATTTTCTCAAGTTGTTTGTATCAGTTGATCAAATATGTAATAATAGAAAGTCTTTGAATCCGAATAATTTTATTAATTTCTAATTAAAATAATTTTAAAAATATTAATGTTGAGTCCTGGATTATTTGCGGTGGTAGAGAAATATAAAGTTTAACGTCTTAGTTTTGTTCGAAGATCCTTCGCGCATATAGATAAAAAAAGATGGTGCAACATTTATAACTGACACCAAAACTTTTACGTGGAAAATCCTGAAAAGAAGAAAAACCACGGGGCCTAACTTAATTTGAATAAATCAACTATTATTTGTAGTCGATTACAAATGATGCCCTTCCTTAGGGGGAAAGCCTTGGGTTGATGTAGCAAATTTATATCATATTACATGGTGGGATTTGGAAGAATTAGCATTGAAATGTTCGTTTAGTTGGTAGAACCATAGTCACGGGCAGGGGCGGAATCAGCTTCAATTTTGAGGGGGGGCAAATACAACACAAAAATAATTAAATATTAAATAAATATTATTATATATCTATATATTACGACAAGTTTTTTTTAAAAAAAAAAATTAAGCAAGAAAATAAAAAAAAAATTAAGCAAGAAAAATAAAGAAAAAAATGTAATTAAACAGTTATGAAAAGCATGAAAGAGAATATTAGAATTAAATGTGAAGAAATAAATAGATATTTTAGGGCAAGATAGGATAAATTTGAATCACGCAATTGCCCCCCTTAAGCTGGTAGTGGTTCAGCCCCTTCTCTCAGTGCTCCTCTGGCTAGGCTAAGGGGTAAGATACGTAAGGATCTGCTAGTTCATGAAGTATCTCATTCTTCCAGGAAATTATTCTGTGCAGTCAACCGACTGTCCGGAGAAAAAATTATATAGAATGCGCTACGTCACTCTGTACACAGCTTCGGTACACAACAAAAAAATGACGTGGTGCGTCCTGACTCGCACTCTGACAGCATCTGGTGACCGCACAACATAATTTCTCCATTCTTCCACATGCCTCCTATGTCAATTCCTTGAAAGAAAAGGTCTACCCAATGTATGGCCTTGCTTACACCATCATCTCTTTCAAGAAGTTCCAATCATCCAGTGAGGCTCAATGCCCTTTCTACTCTCACTTCCATGCTCGACCACGTGCCCTTCATCCCTATCTTACTGGACAACACATGAATGAAAAAGATTTAGCTCTTATTTCACGTAGTGGGACAAAGATTTGATGTTGTTATTATTGTTGTTATTGTTGTATGTGCAATCCAGAATCCTACAAGGGGTCCTAGTTGGGTACCCATGTTTTGCGCTGACGGGCTTTGCCCACCCAAGCCCACCTATGTTGACTTTCAGGATGTCATACCCACCCTCTTTCCACGCTTCTTGAATGCAGTCTGCCACAGATTAATGGCCTTGAGGTTTGTTGTCATTTTCTCTGATTGCAAACTTTCAAGTCATATATCAAAATTTATCGTGGTTGCAGCGCGGTTCTGTGCTGCACACTGCATAGTAAGGATTACTGTAATATACTACATGTATATGATGATTAGTAATATAAATCGATTTATTCCCTGATGTTCAGTATCCATTCATATACACGCTCGAGGTCATGGGCGTACCCATACCCACTCATGCCCATTGGGTATGAGTAGGTACGTGGGTGGGTATGAGTTTTGATACCCAAAGTAGTGCTCTGGTGCAATCCTCTCAATCAACTTGAGTTACTCTTATTTAGATCACTTGCACAAAAATTGCAATTTGCTCTCCACTCTAGTTTTCATTTATGTATGTCAAATAAATAACAACTGATAAGATATCGCCAACCCTTTAATGCTATCTAATAGGATTAGCTATGTATACTCAACACTTACTCATTGTGAAAACCAGAGTACATGAGACTACCAGCTGCACCTTGCTACGCATAAAACTTTATTTTTATACCTTTAATCTTCCTCACTTGTTAAAGTCTATAAC